CCTCTGAGTAGCACCCAGAGCACCCCAGGACGGTCCTGGGGGTGTCCCCACCCCCCTGACCCTTCCCTGACCCCTCCTGACCCCCTGCAACCCCTGAGTAACCCCTGAGTAACCCATGAGTAACCCATGAGTAACCTCTGAGTAGCACCCAGAGCACCCCAGGAGTGTCCTGGGGGTGTCCCCACTGTGACCCCTCAGTGACCCCTCCTGACCCCCTGCAACCCCTGCGTAACCCATGAGTAACCTCTGAGTAGCACCCAGAGCACCCCAGGAGTGTCCTGGGGGTGTCCCCCCCCCTCCGACCCTTCTGTGACCCCTCAGTAACCCCTCCTGACCCCCTGCAACCCCTGCGTAACCCATGAGTAACCTCTGAGTAGCACCCAGAGCACCCCAGGAGTGTCCTGGGGGTGTCCCCCCCCCTCCGACCCTTCTGTGACCCCTCAGTAACCCCTCCTGACCCCCTGCAACCCCTGCGTAACCCATGAGTAACCTCTGAGTAGCACCCAGAGCACCCCAGGAGTGTCCTGGGGGTGTCCCCCCCCCTCCGCCCCTTCCGTCACCCCTCAGTGACGCTCCCGAGCCGCCTGATCTGCGCCTACGTGCAGCTGCTGTCGGACGCGGCGTGCCGCCGGGCGTACCCGCGGCGCATCACTCCCAGCATGTTCTGCGCCGGCGTCAGCAACCAGCGCATCGACTCGTGCCAGGTGAGGCCGGAAACTGCCCGAAAAGCTGTCCTGAAATCACCCGAAAACTGCCCCGAATTCACCCAAAAACTGCCCCAAACCTGCCCAAAAACCTGTCCCAAATTTATCCAAAATCCTGTCCCAAATTTATCCAAAATCCTGTCCCAAATTTATCCAAAATCCTGTCCCAAATTTATCCAAAATCCTGTCCCAAATTTATCCAAAATCCTGTCCCGGATTTACCCAAAACTGCCCCAATTTCACCCAAAAACTGACCCAAATCCTCCTAAATCCACCACTCTTGACCCCTGAGTGACCCTGAGTGACCCCTGAGTGACCCCTGAGTGACCCCTGAGTGACCCCTCTGTGTCCCCAGGGTGACTCCGGGGGTCCCCTGTCCTGCAATGGGACCCTGCAGGGCATCGTGTCCTGGGGGCTGCAGACCTGCGCCCTGCCCGGCCACCCCGGGGTCTACACCAGGGTCTGCAGCTTCACCTCCTGGATCCTGGACACCATGAACCGCAACTAGGGGACATCCGGGACACCTTGGGGACATCGGGGACACCTTGGGGACATCGTGGAGGCATCACAAAAACATCACAGGGACAGCTTGGGGATGTGGGGACATCAGGAACATCACAGGAACATCACAGGAACATCACAGGAACATGGGGACACCATGGGGACACCACGGGGACATCACAGGAACACCTCAGGGACACCTTGTGGACATGAGAACACCATGGAAACATCACAGGGACACCTCGGGGACATGGGGACATCATGGGGACACCTCGGGGACATTGGGGGCACCACGGGGACATCACAAGAACATCACAGGGACACCTCGGGGACATGGGGACATCATGGGGACACCTCGGGGACATTGGGGGCACCATGGGGACATCACAAGAACATCACACGGACACCTCGGGGACATGGGGACATCAGGAACATCACAGGAACATCACAGGAACACCTTGGGGACATGAGAACACCATGGGGACACCTTGGGGACATCACAGGAACACCTTGGGGACATGGGAACACCTTGGGGACACCTCAGGGGCATGAGGACACCATGAGGACATCACAGGAACACCATGGGGACTTGGGGACACCTTGAGGACACCTCGGGGACATTGGGGACACCATGGGGACATCACAGGAACATCACAGGGACACTTTGGGGACACCAGGAACATCACAAGAACATCGCAGGAACATCACAGGGACCCCTTGGGGCCATGGGGACATCACGGGGACATCTTGGGGACATCACAGGAACATCACAGGAACATCTCAGGCACATGGGGACACCATGGGGACATCACAGGAACATCACAGGGACATGGGGACACCTCGGGGACACCTCGGGGACACCTTGGGGATGCCCCACAGGGTGGGACAAAGGACACGGTGATGGGTGCCAGGGCCACCAGGGCCACCTCGGGGCCACCAGGGCCACAAAGGGGACGCGGATTTGGGGTCAGAACCAATAAATTTGGAGCAAACGCCACCTCGGGTCCATCCCTGGTGTCCCCAACCCCCCCCAGATGTCTCCTGGTGGCCCCTCCCCCATTCCCAGAGACGATTTTGGGACGTTTTCCCAGAATTTCGTTTATTGAGGCACTGGCGGAGCGGGGGAGGGGACCTGGGAGTGTTTGGCCACGCCCACCCGGGAGAAGACAATGGAGGAGGGAAGGTCCAATCGGGGGACGGGAACGCGAGCGGGGTCAAGCAAAGGTCAACCAAGAGGAACCCAAATCCAACCCAAACCAACCCAAAACCAACTCAAGGTCCACCAAAACCACCCAAAGTCAACCAAACCCAACTTGAGGTCAACCAAACCCAACTTGAGGTCAACCAAACACAACCCAAGGTCAACCAAACACAACTCAAGGTCCACCAAACCCAACCCAACCCAAAACCAACCCGAAGTCAACCCAAGGTCAACCAAACCCAACCCAAGGTCCACCAAAACCACCCAAGGTCAACCAAACCCAGCCCAAGGTCCACCAAACCCAACCCAAGGTCAACCAAGATCAATCCAAGGTCAACCAAACCCAACTTGAGGTCAACCAAACCCAACCCAACCCAAAACCAACCCAAAATCAATCCAAGGTCAACCAAACCCAGCCCAAGGTCAACCAAACCCAACCCAAGGTCAACCAAAACCAATCCAAGGTCAACCAAGACCAACCAAACCAAAACCCAACCCAAACCCAACCCAAGGTCAACCAAAACCACCCAAAGTCAACCAAGATCAATCCAAGGTCAACCAAATCCAACCCAAGGTCAACCAAACCCAACCCAACATCAACCAAACAAAACTCAAGGTCCACCAAACCCAACCCAACCCAAAACCAACCCGAAGTCAACCCAAGGTCAACCAAACCCCACCAAAAACAACCCAAGGTCCACCAAAACCACCCAAAGTCAACCAAGATCAATCCAAGGTCAACCAAACACAACTTGAGGTCAACCAAACCCAACCCAAGGTCAACCAAACCCAGCCCAACCCAAAACCAACCCGAAATCAATCCAAGGTCAACCAAACCCAACCCAAGGTCAACCAAGACCAAACCCAACCCAAACCCAACCCAAGGTCAACCATCGGTCAATGAAGTCCAAACCAACCCAATGGTCATCTCCAGACCACCCAACAGTTATCGCTGGAGCACCCAATGGTCATCTCATGATGAAGACCTCAACCGTCATCTCCAGACCGGCTAATGGTCACCACCAGACCACACAATGGCCATCTCAAGATCAAGACCTCAATGGACACCTCCAAACCACCCAATGGTCATCTCCAACCACCCAAGGTCATCTCCAGACCACCCATGGTCATCTCCAGACCATCCATGGTCACCACCAGACCAGCCATGGTCATCTCCAACCACCCAAGGTCATCTCCAGACCACCCATGGTCATCTCCAACCACCCATGGTCATCTCCA